AGGACACAGTCCCCAGCTGCTTCGGGCGAGCCGTGGCTGCTATGTCCACAGTATTTTGCTGGTCTTCTAATTTAGTCACTTTGTCAAAGAATAAAATAAGATTGGTTTGGCATGATGTTTTTAACAACCCTTTGCTAGCTACTAGTTATAACTTTATTTGTTTATAGATTTTCACAGTTCTGTTTTATTATTATTATTTCCAGGATTTCCCCAGATATTGATGTTAGACTGATTGGTCCATAGTTTCCTAAGTCTGTTTCCCACCCCCCTCTTTTTTTTTTTTTTTTTTTGAAGATGGGAACCACATCAGCTCTTTTCCAATCCTCTGGCAGTTCCCCAGCGTTCCAGATTTTTTAAAGATATGGTACAATAGTTCTGAGATCATATCTGCCAGCTCAATGGTGGGATTCAAAAATTTTACTACCGGTTCTATGGGCGTGGCTTGGTGGGCATGGCAGGGAAAGGATACTGCAAAATATCCATTCTCTCCCCACCCCACTAACCTGCTTTCCAGCTCTGTTTTCCTGGGCAGGGCAACCAAAGAAGACCCAGCCCATCAGCTGGGACTTGGGAGGCAGAGAATAGATGGGGGCGGAGCCAGTCAGAGGTTGCATTTGCCAGTTCTCCGAATTACTCAAAATTTCCACTACCAGTTCTCCAGAATCTGTCAGAACCTGCTAAATACCGCCTCTGTACCAGCTCCTTCAGAACTCCGAGATGTAATCCATAAGGTCCTGGTGATTTATACCGGTATCTCTTTGATAAGTTTTCTTCCATTATTTCTTCTGTTGCTATTAGTTCTTTGGAGAATAGGTTGACCTCTTATCCGTGGCAGCCCCTCAGTACTGAAAGACTTCTGTTATGCCATTCCTAATCCTTCTCTTCCTTTGATTAGACCTATCCTGTTCCTGCATCTGCTCTTCATGTTTTAGTCTCCTGGCCCCCCATCATCTTTGTTGTTCTTCTCTGCACTCTTTCCGGACACTCACTCACTCTCTCCCTCCCTCTCTCCCTCCCTCCCTCCCCCCCCCTCTCTCTATATATATAATATTTTCTGAGGTTCTCGCGGGTATTTGTATGTGGATCTTTGGTTATTCGGGTTTTCTCCCGCGTAAGTTTGGAAGTATCTAGGCAACGTTTCAATGAAGTCTCATTCATCATCTTCAGGCTTGTGTCTTCAGCTCTGTGCTTCTCAGAGTGATCTTTTACAGTGGTTTCAGATTTAAATTTGGGGCAGCCTATGAAGAAAAAACCATTCTGGCACAGCAATAGGCTGCCCCAAATTTAAATCTGAAACCACTGTAAAAGTCTAACTCACAGACGAACACAATACAAAAGCCTGATGATGGCAGATGAGATTCTGCTGAAACGTTGCTACAACTTTAAAAGCACCACTACTATGACGTGAGAAAATACCCGAACAAAGCTGAAGGCCATATATATATATTGGTATCATGGTGATCAAAACTAGATGCCGTATTCCAAGTGTAGTCTTACCAGTGCAGTATAAAGGGGAACTAAACCTTCACATGATCTTGATACTGTCCCTCTGTTGATGCATCTTAGGGCTGCATTGGCTTTTTTGGTAGCTGCAACATACTGCTGGCTCATATTTAAGTGATAATCCCCCGAAGACTCTAGATCGCTCTCACAATTACTGCTGTTGAACTAGATACAATATCTTCCATATAGTACATTTCTTTTTTTCTTGGCTAAGTTTAAAATCTTACTTTTCTCATCAGATAGGGTTCAGTTATTCAAGTCTGTCAAGATCCTTTTGGGTGATGAGCCTACCTTATAAACTGCATGTGTCAAACTTGATCGCGTCATGTGAGGTACTGTGACATACCACGGCATTTTTTTGCCTTTGTGGAGCTGGGGTGGGTGTGGCCTGTGCATGATGCATCCGGCCCACCAGCTTTACACCCCTGTTATAAACCATTGGCTATTCCCTCTAGCTTGGTGTTTTTTCCACAAATTTTATAGTTCCATTCTATCCCCTCATCTAAATTGTTAATGAAGATGTTGAAGATTATTGTGTCTAAGGCAGAACCTTGAGGTACCCCAGTGTTTGCCTTCCTCCACAAATACGTAGATGTGATGTACATTTACCCTATAGATGTAATGTACATGCAGATGTTGTGATGACTGGCCCAGATGCTTCCCCAGATATTTCCCCAGATGTAAATTTGGAGGAAGATAAACCAGTTCCAGGCACGTCTGGAGGGGAGTTGGTCAATGACTCCAAGCAACTGTCTGAGCAGGATTTGGCTGAAGCACAGATGCAGGAGGACAGCCCTGAGGCTTCAGGTGGGGAAGAGGAAGAAGAACTGCTTTCTGCACTTGATCCAAGAACACATAGGGCAGAGAAAAGGCAGGAGTAACAAAGGTCATTGTGATCGGAAATGCCCAGTCCTGGTGCCAGAGAAATTTGATGGGACTTTGGAGTAGTTTCCTGGTTTTGGGGACAATGTCAGCTAGTTTTGACATTGTCCCCACTTTTTGACACTGGGGTGACTATTCTCAGAGGTGGTATTCTGCAGGTTCTGACCAGTTCTGGAGAACCGGTAGCGCAAATACCACCTTTGACTGGAGAGTTTACAGTATCCTTCCCCTGCCTCACCCATCAAGCCACACCCACAGAACTAGTAGTAAAAAAAATTGAATCCACCGCTGGAGGGTTCTCTACCCAATTCCAATTGATGACTATGTTTGAGGACCCTGTGAAGGCCCAGAAGATGAACCAATGGCTGCTGAGCTAAAGCAGGTTTGAGTCAGTCACAGGATATACCAGCAACTTCCAATTGATGAGCCAGGACCTGAGGTGGAACCAGGAAGCCCTCATTCATCAGTTCCAGGAAGCTCTGTCATTGAAGCTTCTGGATGAACTGGCCCAGATGGACCATCCCAGCAATTTATAGGTCCTCATGCACCTCTGAGTGCCTATAGACAGATGGCTCCAGTAACAGCAGAACAGTGGAATCACCCCCACTGGCGAAGCTCCAGGAGAAACCGCTTCCCCAAAAGAACCTATGCAGATGGGATGCCAACCACAGCTTACCACCAAGACGGATCGTCAGTGTTGGGAGGGATTATGCTTCTACTGTTACTATATTGTTAATGCAACTACAGAGAAAAAGAGCTTGATACATGACTGGAAAGTAACCATACCATTGATATTTAATTAACTTTATTTAAATCAACTTTAGATGACTTAATTTTCATCACACTTTAGAAGAGTAAAATATGGCTGCAATGCTTGAAAAAATATTTTGCACATGCATTTGGGGTGGCTTCCAATCATTGTAGTTCCTTTTGCGGGAGGAATCCTCCATCCCTTCAGTTCTTCTCATGCACTGTACATTGATGTGCATGTGACAATTCCCTCAGATGATGAGGCTTCTCCATACATAGTACCTGGCTCAGGTCATAGTTCTATATTGTGGGTGCAACTTTGAGTCTTTTTTGGAATTCTTCACATAACACAGATGGCTCCCCATCTCACTTTGGTCAGGAGGATCAGAAGTAGTTTTTCTGAAAGAGTTTTTCTTAATTCACGTTATTTATTTTGGTCCCGCTAATTTGCAATTATCACCTTTCTTGCTTGATCATTTGCAATGTCAGCACAGTGGCATCATTTTGTTATTTTAGTGAGTATCCCTAACTTGGGACTAAAAGAGGGAAAAATTGAAAAACCTCTTACGTGTCACTTTTAAGGCAATATCACAACAGGACTATATAATATCACATTTCATCTCACTCTAAACTTTGAAAGAACCTGAATTCTCTTTGAATTATAACATTTTTTTTCACAGCCTAGAATCTCTCTCCTCCACTACTTCCAATTTCTCTGAGGACAGAGAACAGTAACTCTAAGAAACTAAGTATGCAATGAGAAATAAGAAAAGGTGAAATAATTCTAAGATTAAGAAAAAGGAGAAAAATTTAAACTCTTTTAGTGTGATTAAGTGGTAAGAACAAACAACTACGGAATAGGAGGCTTCACTTTTTGTAGCTAAATGTAGATACATTCAAAAATCCGCAGTTCATAATTAAAATGGCATGTCCCTATTCTTTACATTTTCATCAATAAACTCATCTCCCTCAGGCTCCAGTCGGGAAGATCAAACTAAAAAAAATGTCTAAGCTCAGTCTCTGTAAATAGAAAAAAACCATAAATTTAATTACCTTTCTAGAATTAACATATATTCTCACTCAAGTGTATCTCTGTATGGGAAATTAGGTAATTGCTCCTACTAAAGCTCTCTCCACACTCCATGCATTTAAATGGCTTCTCCCTTGTGTGGATCCTTTGATGGCGAGTAAGGTGATGGCTCTGACTAAAAGTTTTTCCACAATCCGTGCATTTAAATGGTTTCTCCCCTGTGTGGATCCTCTTATGGAGAGTAAGGGCACTGCTCTGACTAAAAGTCTTTCCACACTCCGTGCATTTAAATGGTTTCTCTCCTGTGTGGATCCACTTATGGGAAGTAAGATTGCAGTTTACACTGAAGCTCTTTCCACATTCCATGCATTTAAATGGTTTCTCTCCTGTGTGGATCCTTTTATGGCAAGTAAGACCACTGTAGTGGCGAAAGCTCTTTCCACACGCCATGCATTTGAATGGTTTCTCCCCTGTGTGGATCCTTTTATGAGTAGTAAGTTTACTGTGTTGGCCAAAGCCCTTTCCACACTCCATGCATCTATATGGTTTCTCCCCTGTGTGGATTAATTGATGGGAACTAAGTTGTTTCCTAGAAGTAAAAGTCTTTCCACATTCCATGCATTTAAATGGCTTCTCCCCTGTGTGGATTCTTTTATGAGAAGTAAGATTACTGAGTAGCCTGAAGCCCTTTCCACATTCTGTGCATATATAGGGCTTCTCTCCTGTGTGGATCAGTGACGGGTTTCCAAATTGTTTCCTACCGGCTCTAAGCACGGTCCAATTGCAATTTTTTCCATTGTCTTTGCATATATTATCTTGTCCTTTGGTTTCATTTACATCTAATGTGTCTTTGGATAGTTTTACACCTTTCCCAATATATTTTTTCTCTATTTTTTCCAGTTGCTGAAGAAACTCATGCATGTGAGCCTCAATGGAAGATGAGCTTTCGTCATTCCAATTATTTGAGGGGTTTCTCTCCTGCCTTTGGAATTCCGTTTGAATTGCAGGCTTCTCCATTACGTTTCCATGTCTGAATCCTTGGAATGATTCCCTTGGTTCTTCATGGTCCTGCTCATTATCACCTTCAAGGGGAAAGAGAAATAAATATGATAGCAAGGTTAAAGAAATGGATCAATCAGTGGTAAGTAATCGTTATTGCCTTCTGAAACTTTTGAAATTCTAAGATTACATGTTTGATTGTTTACAATGGTATAAATGATAATTCCCACATGAATGAAGCATAAAAGATTTAAGGACAAGCAAACATTCTTTTTGTTTATAATTATCCATACATATTCAAATCTCAAGGAGAGTCAGCTCTGAGTTAAAGAGGCAGTATCCAAAGATGTATTAGGAGAAAACCTAACATGTATTGGAAGGGTGCCAATTCTAACGGAGACCTGCGAGAACTAAATCCCCTTTGAAACTCCTTTTTCTTCTTACACAAACAATATTCCACTTGCATTTTGTTTTTAATTTGCCAAAAATCACATGATTGAAGAGAAAAAAATAGTGTTCTTCTATTAAGCTTAAGCTGCATGTTTTCAATGGAAAAACAGCAGCGTTTCATCCCCAATTCTAAGGCTCAGAATAGAAATCAAACAGAAGTAGTTAATCCACATACTTAAAGGACAATATTTCATAAGATTGATATGGAATTATCTGGGCCAAAAAAGCTGAAATCTGTGATGGAGCCAAAAAATTACTTTGCCATTGCCATGTTTAAATAGAAATAGAAAATACACCAGATGCAAAATGACACAGGATGCATCTAAGCAGAACGCCATGGACCTATTTTCTTCCTAGGAGGAGTAGAACGGCATATTTCTACCTGCTTCCTTTCCAGAGATAACATCTATTTGAAATTTTTAAAATAAGTGAGAGACTGGAGAATAGGAAATATCCTTACTAAGAAAAGACACGTTGCTGTAATTTTCCAGCATGACTTCCCAATGCAGAGCTTTTTGGTCAGGATCCAGCTCGGACCATTCCTCCTCGGAGAAATACACAGCCACATCCTCGAAAGAGACAAGGCCCTCCTGACAGGGAAAGAGAGCACACTGAAGGTCCAGGAAGAATTGTAAAAATGGTTTTATTTTTTATAAATTTCCCAAGCAACTTTATGTAACTAAGGTAAATGGCGATGCTTGTTAGGATTCCAAGGTTTACATGAGAAAACAGGCAGGGCCAAAAGCTTTTGATGGAAAAAATCGTTTGTAAAGGTTTTATCAATTTTACTGATTTTGCAGGATATTCAGTGCCATTCAGTGAAAGTAGTAGCAGTTTCCTTCTACTTCAATTGAGCTACCATCATCCATCCATTCACCCACCCATCCACCCTCCAGCAACCATCAAAGATGTCTGGAATCAATTGGTATTTGGGGGTTCCAAAACTCCACCTATCAGTGCCTCCAATCCTTCCTGTATTTGCGGAAGGAAATGTTTCTGTGTTTCGGGGGGAGGATTTGTCAAGCCTGAAATTGTCAAAAGTGTAGCCATTTTAGTTTGTGGTAGTATATATTCTTTTTCTTATTTTCTCTGTGGTAGTCATGGGGGGAAGGGTTGTGGGCTTCACACATTCCTAAGAGGGGAGGAGTGGAGATAAGAAGAGTGTTATGGCTAGGTGATTTTCTTTCCCATGAGAAACGAGCTGTATGGACTTGGGCCCCTGGAGGTGGAGATTTATGACATCAAGCAACGTTGTATTACTTCTATTGGAGAATGTGACTTTTGGGAGTTGTTTCTAACTTCTAATATTGTGGGGTAATTCCGGGTTGGGTCAGATCCAGAATTATCATGGGCTTTGCCAATTTGATGCTTTCCTAAATAAAAGAAATATTTTGGAAGATGGACTTTGTAATTTTTCTTTTAACATGGATTTCATTACTTGGAAACCTGACAGGATTCCTTGCAGCCTTTTAGTAAATGTCTCATGGTGTCCCAAGGAAGAACAAACCTGTCTCTCCTCAACACCTTCATGAAAGTGCTGGCAGAGCTCAGCCAAGAATTTGTTTCTGGTCCTCCTCACATTGTAAGGAAGCTGCTTGTAGTCTGAGACATTGACTGAATGATAGGTAACAAAGTGGAAGAAATTTCCCGAGGAGGAGATTTCTTGGGGACCTATGACAATTGACTGCAGCAAACTCACTATGGTTAACTCACCATGGCCAAAGCACCGCAGGACAACTTGCTACGGCCAACTTGCTTAGATTGTAAATAAAACATTTTTTTTTTAATGTAATTTGTCAGTGTGAATATTTAGTTATTCTTGAGCATCCTTGCACAGATGTAAGTCAAAGAATTACAAAAAGAAGAGTCATCACAAAGAATTATTTGAAAAGTGAATACAGTAATTAGCATAATTACAACTATTATAACAATTGGCAACAATTAGCATTTATTTAAAATGCTGATCTTAAAATAAGATTTCCTAATAACAGCCTCATCTTGCTTGGATACCCAAAAATAAGCCAACTCAGACAAGAGGGAA